TCACAACTTACATGGCATTCTATGTTATGTTGACTTTATCACATGAAAGTTTAGTGCATTTCATCAATTAATAAATAAATGTGAAAATCATAATTTTCAACACAAATAATAGTCTCGCTACCTTAATCTCACTGTCCCCAGAACAAAAACATCCAACCCGTTGTGTCGTCACAGGAAGCGCTGTCCCAGCACAGACCTGTGTCATATAACGCCTTACTAGATGATTTTGGCTAAAATAGCGCTCCGCTGCCTCTTTACACTAGTGTTTATACACGGAACTTGATAATCTTTTTTTCAATTTAAGTTGATTTTTAATCGCGTATTTTAGTGAAATATTGTTTAGTGAGTGAAATATTAATGTCATGAATAATCTTGGAAACAACAGAAACTAACACATAATAACGATAATCAAATTTGTGTTTGAAGTTCGAAAGTACACGCGTAATTTCCGGTTTCAACTAGTTCGTAAATAGAACGTCCTTAAATGCCATAAAATCACGCGTACAACTCCTTCCGAACCAGACACTAGCAGCCTAAACGTATTTCAAATTTGCGCAATTTGGGCCAGCTTGTTTTTACAAGTTTTCTAAGTTTCATTTATCATTATTTAGTAAACAGGTCCCTGAAACGATTTAATATATCCGTAAAATACGTGGCAATCGACGATTGACTTTGAAACCTTCGAAATTTCGAACAAACTCCAGGCACACCTTGCGCGATATGTGTCAGATCGGTGTAGAAGACGCCGACCTGCAGCGTCAATGCATCCAACCAACATTTCACCAGCCTAACACTAGAGGGCAGCATACACCAGTGATTTGCTATTAAAGATACATTTCATTATCCTGACACTAGAGGGCAGCATATAACAGTTTAGGTAGCGTTCAATCACCGATGTGATTGATAATCAAAACAATCATGCCCGTGACTGATTCATTATATTTACATTACAATTTAGATCAGTGTTCTCCCCAGAAAAATAGCACAGAGTATTGACTAATTTGCATGACAATAAACATCTCTACTGCGCTCATTGCTACACTAAATTGTCTCTATTGTTCATCCAAAATTAAAGAGTTGGGAAACCCTACTCTGTAACACCCTGGGAATAATCTTGTAGATTACAAATTGTGATCAGGTACAAGATGCTATTTTTAGACACTTACTTTGGCAGGTTTGGATCTCTCTGGCTTCGTTTTTACTTTCTGTTTCTTAATCTTCTTTTTAGGTGGTTCATCTTCTACCTGTTGAGAACATGGATGCAAACGACGGGAACATAAATAGGAGGTGAGGAAGACATTGAAGATAAAAAACAATGCAGATACTCATTCGGTGCAGTTTTCGTATAGCTCCAACTAATATTCTGATAGTTCATATTCATATTTAGATGCAGAGGAATAAAAATGTGATGTGTTCTCTTAACGGCTAGCAGCACATGTGGCTACATGGTAATGTCCTTATTAATGCTTGATTTGGTGAGCAAGCAAAACAGCGAATTTCTAGTTCCATGTTTGCTAAATTATGAGAGATTGATCTTATAACCCCTTACAGTATTAAACTATTCACACAGAAAGAACATCTAATGAAGCATCAATAAACTCGACAGTTGAGAATTTGTTTGTAATTTGATAATAGCATTCTAACGAAAACATTCCATGAAAGGTATTATGACTTTCTGCCTAATAAACCCAACTAAAATTTTCAATGTTGACATGTTTTCCCAAAATTTGAACATTCACAAAAACAAGCTTTTTTGTGAAATAAAGCAATTTAATAACGGATGAATCATACGGTAATAGTAACAAAAATCACTGAATCATTTTAAAGTTAATACATTCAGGGTTCTCCACGAGGGGTTTTTACAGGGCGCCCTGTTTAAATTGTCAGCGCCCTGTTATATTTCCTGTGCGCCCTGCATGGTCCCATACAAAGAATTGTTTACAAAACAGGCCAACACTCATTGTCTTCCGAAGATGATTCATCGTGCTCAGGGTAACTGGTTCATTGTTTTAAGGTGCAACTGTGAAAATTCAGGTTTGTTATCGTAGCAGGTCACCGTGAGGTGATAACACCACCAAACAAAAAGTTACAATTTTTTTCAATACGATTAAAACTGAACATGTGGCCTAGAAAAGTACATTACCGTACCCATATTTTTACTGCCAGGGT